ACCTCGGTCATATGTCTAGGCGTGTTAGAGTTCTCAGCACGGAAAACCGGTCCAATACAGAAAACCCGCTTTCGGCCACCGGCGATTTCGAATTGCTTGTAGAACTGTGGTGATTGCGCCAAGAAAGCGTCCTTTGTGAAATAAGGCAGGCCAAACACATTGGCACCTCCCTCTGACGCAGCACCGATCAAGCAAGGGGGCTCGAACAAGTGGAAGCCGTGCTTCCTCAGATACTCTGAGAATAGCTCACGGGTTGTCTCTCGCACGTTTGCGATAGCCTGCTGGATAGGTGCCCGCTTATGCATAACGATATTGTCGAGATGCGTCTCCAGACTGGCCTTCTTTGCAATCTCATTCTCCGCGATGCTCAGCTCTTCTACCTTCTGTGCGGCCTCGTCGGTGGTGTCCTTGTCCTTGAAGCTGCTGATAGCATTGTTGGCAGCTGCAAGAGTCATGCCCAGCATGGGTGGTCCCGGCGCGATGCAGTAGAACTTGGTGATATGGAGCTCGAGCTCAGAAACCTTGCAGCTCTTGACGGGCTCGAGTGGCTTAGCGACGGTGGCCTCAACCAGCACGTACGACTCTAGGCTGATGGCGCCCACCCACTTCACCATTTGCTTGCTGACAGGTGTGCCCTCCTTGGACGCGGCGATGACGCCCTGGATACTCCAGTCGCCGACCTCCCGCAGCTCCACGAAGCACATCTTGGCGCCCTGCATACGGCTCTGCTGAATCCACGCGCGCAGCTTGACCGTCTTGCCGAGCAGCGACTCGTCGTACGCCTTGAGCTCGACCTTGGGCGCCTCCAGCACCACGTGCTCCTTGCTTCCGTAGTTGTCGACAGCCAGGTCCTCCGCATCGGCGGCGAGCTTTGCTGCTTGTTGGGCAGCGAGCTCTGCAGCCCGCTTGGCTTTCTCTGCCTCCTTCTTGGCCTTGGCCTCGGCCTTCTTGAGCGCCTTCTTCGACGGGCCCTGATCGCCGCCCTCGGCGCCCTCAGCCGGCGGCTGCTCCGGGGGTGGTTGTGTTGTGTCGGCCATGATCGCTTTTCTCTGTGGTGCAGGTGACTCAGTTAGCAAGCAGTCAGGCAAGCGATCACGAGAGGCTTTGATGGGTCGTTAACAGTGTATATAAATACAAGAACGAGTGGGTATAAGTTTGCTTCCAATTGTTTATATACCTTTCAAAATCCTTATGAATTTAATCTGACTCAATCGGCGAGAGAGAAGGACTGCGGTGTTCTTTTAACGAGAATGAAGACGGGAGGGAAGTCACTGATATTTTGGCGGGGTGTTTTTTCGACCCCTCCACGTCCGATGTTGAATTTCGAGGTGGGGTGCTTCTGCGTCAGGCCGTGAAGCTGGACAACAGCCCTAGCCTATTAGGGAGCTACTTGAAGGATCTAGACATTTAAGTATACATAGGCCGCCTATCTTCTACGTCTTTAAGTATTCTGCTAACTCTAGCCTCATATACCTTGGTCAATAGATGATTCTGAACAATTGCCACAACAATGGTTCATATTACTCCTTAATGGAGCTTGGGCACCGGAATTATCGTCTCTAGAGGTGTGGCACGGTATATCATTGGCGTAGTGTGTCTGAAAATCATGAGACAGATGTGTTCATCTCCGGGGCAGCACCAGGTACTCTCAGCTCAGCTTTTAGTGTCACGAGCTTCATTCTTATACCCCGGACTCGTCCAGGTGAAAATCAAAGCAGCCCGAAGGAAGCCCGAAAGACACAAGACATATCGTCTCAACTGCTCTTGGTACGCATACCGGCGTCATTACTCTTCCTATGATACCTTATAGAACTACAACACACTTGGATAGACCGCAATCCGTCTGATTGGTTCCTGTCATCAAAATCCCTAAACTCCTGACCCGGCATCAGTAACCCGATTCCCAATGCCACAAACCAAAATAGAGACAGTTGGGTACCCATAGCAACAGAAATGACAGAGCCTCCTTCTTCAAACTTGCAAAAAGGTACTGCGAAGGCCTCCATTGTAGTAATTAGACCGTTGAGTCCCTAGAAAATCAGGTTGTTTTCCTTGCCGACGCTATGCAAAGCAATAGCAAATCAATCAGCTCTCTCCGACGCGCAGGTGAAGAGGTTAATGTGGTGGTCACCACGAGCAGCAGCACCGAGCACCATCCGATGAGGATGGAATGCTGTGGCAGAAATGGGTGAGCCTCGGTTTTGGCCAAGGAAGCTCGAGTAAGGCTCAACTCGAGAGAGCTCTTTACCGTCAAAGTTGAATACCTTGACGATGTGTGCTGACGTGCCCCTGAAAATTGTGTTAGTTGCGACTTTCAAAATTTAGGAGGGAAGGCTATAGACGTACACTGCAAAGACAGGTAGATGCTCGTGCGTGCTTGCTGTGCGTAGGATGTCTCTCGTAGTCTGGAATGTTTGGAGCGGCTTGTCCATACGAATGTCCCAAAGCTTGACTTTGCCGTTGCGGCTCGCAGAGAGCAACTCACGCTGCCCACCACGTTGCATATGGACGCTTCTGATCCACTGCCTATCCGAATCGTCCTTCCACTTCTTCACCATTGATTCTTGTGGCCTCAGACGCTGGTCATAGACTCTAACAGCGCCATCACCGAATCCAGCGACAAATATACTCCCGGTCATCTGGTCCGAAGTGAGTGATGTAACACAAGAACCTGACCGTGCTGGAATATCCATAGTACAAGTTTCATGGCCTGCATTCCAGACCCTAATAGTTCGGACATCACCAGCTACGAGCACCGTGCCAGTGACTTGCTGCCAGTCGAAGACCATACCGGAATTTACATTGCTTTGGACCATGTGAGTGAGAGCCCGCCATGATGAAGCGAGCTCGATCCTCTTGTCAGAATCGTAGTGACGATAAATGCGCATGACGCCATCGGAAGACCCAGTCATCAAAAATGCCTGGTCGTCTTCGTTGATAAACTTCATGTCACTAATTTTAGATCCCTCTGGATTGCCGTTCGAGAAGCGGCTCAATCGGCCTTGTTTCTTCCAGTCCCAGACATAGATGGTATTGGCATCGTCAGCGACAGCCAGATGATCTTCAAATTGGTGGAACGTCATCTTGGCGGGCTGCGCGCCATTGTTGATCATGCCCAGTTGATTATTCCACTTGTGGCTACCGGCATGGGACTTTTGAGGCTGTGTCTCTCTAAGAATGCCTTCATTTCTCGATCGTCGCCACAGTCTCTCGTTATACTCTGTACTCCCCGGCTCTTCTGCTTCAGTGGGCTTCATCTGCGGCTCTCGGAAATATTCAATAGACCAGTCCAAGAAAGTGCTTGTAAGGGGTAGTGATGGCACTTCCTTCATATTTCGGGCTTGAAAGCCAGCAGATAGGGGTTCGTCAGCTATATTGTAGTTCGCAGGAGCCATAAGCTGTTCATTCTGTTCCGGAGGTGCCATAGCCCAGTCGACTCCTGATCTGCTCCTCTGAGATCCAGTTCGCTGAATGCCTGGGGATGGTAGAGGTGAAGGTGGATTGGATGATCCATCGCCACCGAGCCACGGTCCGAAGATTGTACTGACTGTTCTTCTAAGCAAGCCAGGTGATGGGAGAGCCTGAGCATTTGGCGTATTGGCCATGTTGATAAGGCTATTCCGTTGGTTTGACAGTTGGCTACGCACGGCCGCACGCCTAGAACGGCGTTGAATCTCCTCCATCAAGTTCTGGGCCTGGGCTCCAACTGACGAGTGCAATAAAGCGTTGTGGACGTAATCCGTAATTATAGTCGCATCTTTCTGAACCTCCGGGTGAGGATCCACGTTCATTATCATTATGTGCTTCCAGCAAGCAGCCACTGCCGTATTATGGGATAACCCTTGCGCATGTGGTTTGATCCCCCCATCTGCTGTGCGGTTTTCCGGTCGCGTATAGTGCAAATACAGATTCTTGTGATCCAAAACATCATCTTTGGGTGGGAACAAAAGGTATTCCTTTTCTTCCATTAGGTGTTCGTAGGCGGCAACCACGAACTTGCTCTCGTAGCGAACAACGAAATGCGCGAGGAAAACTAGAAGCTCCTTTCGCACCATTGGACTTCCGTCATTGGCCATGTCCAACAGAGTCCATGCAATTGCTTCTTCAATTCGTTGCACTTCATCCGTCAGATCTGGAATACCGATAAACGTTGTCATTGCTAGTAGCATTGCTGCTCGAACCTCACAACATTGGTCCTTAGTAAGGTAGGAGAGCTTGGTCGGCGCGTTCTCCCTAATACCACGCCATTTCGCCTCCGGAAGGTCCTGCCATAGCTGACTGAGGCACAGGCACGACCACTGCCTTAGCAAGGGGTTTTCCTCATTTTGAATGTGTGACAAACAGTAGGTCATGATATCTGTCTGGTTACACACAACTTGCCCAGGTTTGTAATTCTTGCAAAGCATGGCAAGAATAAAGGCACACATGGCTTTGTGCTCATCGCTGTTCATAACAGGGAGCCCTTCAGTGGGCTTCAAGATTTGGGCGAAGTAGTTATAGCCACTGTCCTTGATAAGATCTTGCTGGCATGAAATGTCGACTGCAAGGACTCGAGTCCAGATAAAAACCATGACAGGCTTCAACTCGGTCGCTGCTGACTGAAGCAGCTTTAACACATACGGGAAGATGCCAATGCTCAGAGCGAGCTGAACCGCCCATGGACCAAGATCAAGGAACCGACCAAGCAGAATAAGTGCCCGGACTCGATGCTGTTGGCTAAGGAGCACCTGAAGCACTACCGGGAGCTGGTCTGGTGGCTTTTGTGACAATGCATCGCCTCTAGTCAAATACACGTCGAACGCCGTAAGTTGCTCCGTGAAAAATGTCGAGTTGACGTACTCATATTCACCACCCTCGGTTTCTTTCCTTTCTAGCATAGGCAGTTGGGCAAGTGCCATATCGACGGCAAGATCCCAGCTTTCCCACAACGGATGTTGCCGGGTGTCAGGCAGTTCAGGGAACGACTGGGGATGACACCCGTAAACAGGCATGATTCTCTGGGCCAAGAGAAAATTTCGGAAGAGGGCAGCAACCATGAGATCCTGCCGGAAGAACTTGCGAAAGAGATGACGCGGTAAAGTAGTCCATGCGATAGTGTCTGTAATCGCAGTGAAAATCCAGTTCAGCTCACCCAGTGGCGTCCTACGCTCCTGTAATCGGCCTGGAAGTTTTCGAGCCCTCTCAGGGCTGAGATCTGTTTTCAGGGGATTTTGCAATACGAAAAACCATAGGGCCATCTCTATCGGCGTCGTTAGGCAGGATGTGAAGAGATCGGCCGGGAGTTCGGGATTCGTTGGAAGATTCTCTTTGATCGCACATGCTGCAAGGTGAATATAAGGTTTGAAGCTTGTCTTCTCGTATGTCGGATCGCGACTTGCGGCTTCTTCCTCTTCTTGCTCATGTTTCTCGACAAAACGGTGGTAATTATTTAGAATATTACCAGCTTCGGAGCAGTCCCAGACAAATATCGTTGGCGCTTGAAGCCAATGCTGTAGATCGTAGAGTGAGACTGGAATGTACTGGGTGTAATTTTTGTTGAAGACCCAGATCTCACCAGAGGCCGTCGGTTTCGGAACTCCGTGCCCGTTATAGTGTAATAGCACGCGCTCATCCTTCGCATTTCGTCGTAGAGAAATACAAAACTTCTTGGTCTCCTCGACAGACGGGTCGAGGTACTGCTTGTATCGTGTTCGGATGGCCAAAGTCTCGTACTGTGCCTGCAGGGTCTTACCGATATTCTCCAACGCTTTCTGGACGGGAGGAATGGAAGGGTCTTGCCAGGCTTCAAGTTTTGCGCCGGGCGTGGTTCGCAGTTGGTCTGGTGGTTCGACGCCGATATTTAAGCAAACAGCCAAAGCAGCAGAGACTGTCTTTAGGCGATCTCGCATTCGCCAGTCCTGGATCTCGAAGGACTGCGCTTTCGGCTTACCCGTCGTCTCATGGCGCTTGTCGGTGAAGTACATGTACCAGCCCTGGTCATCTCTGTCAGTTGGTTTATGCGCAAATGTTGGAGAATGAGCCACGAATGTCCAGTTAAGGAACAGCTGCTTCATCAACAACTTCTGCGCCATGCGCTTGCAATCGGCGCAGTGCTTGTCAGAAAAGCAGACATGGTGAAGCCGTAGGTGTAACTGCAGCCAGTCCAGGTTCGACAGATCTACGAGAGGAACCGGCGAAGCGCTCCGAGTAGGACTGGCCATGTCGAAGTAGATATCTGTTGAGAGGTGCCATGCAGCTATTGTAATATTCTACCCCGTGGCATAACTGGGGATATGACTCGATGTCTAGAATAGAGTTGCGACAGCACTCGTGGGCAGGCGCACCACAACCCAGCTCAGTCTGGGTGGTCGGAGATCTCTGGTTGAGGTGGAGCAACGAACACATAGTACTGCAGTCATGAGGACGGTCGGTGACCGCGCCGCCGGGTCGCGAACCTAGAGAAACAGGAAGGAAACGAACAAGGAAAGAGCTACTCACGTTAGCAAGTTGGGAAATGATATCCTCGCTTTGGTAATGGCCCTCGAAGCCGTGTCGCGCGCCAAAGTCTGCAACGTCTGCGCCTTGGTCTTCATCGTATGCCTGGTCCATGTCCTCACCCCGCGTGGCCGTGGCGTGCTCGCTCTTGGATCTGAGCAATGGCGGCTTTACCGTACGCTCGCTGCGCGCCTGCTCCACATTGCCATTTGTAAATGCGCCGGCGAGGTTCTGCTTGCTGCCGGGTGCGCTCGATGGCCGCCTGTTGAGATTTGGTTGGGAGTCATTGTAGACAAGGTTGGACAGGCCGTTCTCTGCTGGCAGCGTACTATTGGTTCCGTTCGAGTCGGCTCTACGGGTGCTGGGGCCGGCTGAGATGCCTCTCATGTTGGACGTCGTCGCTCGGACCGAAGGCATCTCGCTCGAGCTTCCATGAGCTACAGACCGGGCATTGCTGGCGTTAGAGACGAGTTGAGATGTCGAGGATGATGGGCGCGGCTGGGATGCGTAAGACGAGGGTTTCGAGCCGTGGGCGGTGTGGTGTCGTTGGGCGGATTGGGAAGGCGATTGAACTGTCAGAGCAGTCATGCTGGATTAGGTCGGCAAAGCTAGCATGTTTGCCGTTCACTTGGGCGTTGAGGTGGTAGATCTCCGAGCTGGAGCTGCGGAGGAGTGGTGACGTGAAGTTTGCGGCGATGGGGTGGCGCGCCAGCGAACTCGATCTTAGTTTGGGCCGCCAAACCGCTGCTGCAAGGGAGGTCTAGAAGCTTACACTGACAGCTTCGACTAGCAACGACAGGGGGTTTACACGGTTTCCAGATGCGCTCAAAGCTAACCTGGATGGTATTCAAAATGACTGGAATTTTCTCTATAAAATGGCGGTTTAGTTGCCAATTATACAGGTATCCTCATGAGACTGATTTACGCCAAAGCTGGCTGGCTTTTCGCTGGCCGCTACAGCTTCATCCAAAGTTTGGATTGGGAACTAGGCACCCTCGATTCCGGAAACGACACCGCTCGACCACACTGAATCAGCCGCAAAAGAGTCTAACCATGCACCCGTCTCACGCCTGCTGGAGCGGAAAGCCTCGGACAATCGAGCCAGCAGCTTGGGCCACCCATCCTACTGCAAACCGAGTCAGCAACAGAGGCACGTGATGGAGTGCTTGCCCATCCAATCTGGCATTCCCGGTTCGGCAATTGCAAGGACTCAGGCCACGGGAAGATGCTGGCTCCCGTGTTAATCTGTTTCAGTGCGACATTTCGGGCAATCGATAAGGGGCTCTTTGGATGAAAAGGGCCTTGAAGGCTGAAGAGCCCCCACGGATCTTGAGTCTGCACAAAGGCAACGCTAACAATAAATACGTCAGGGAATAGGCCGATGCTGTGAACGAGCTCATACGAGGCAGAGACTGGTCTGTTCAAGGCCACTCTCTTGTCCTACCGGCGTTCGTTCACAGGCTCATTTCCTCGAGCAATCCCCATCATGACATGCATAGGAGCCCACTGGCTCTCGAGTCGAGCTAATTCTGGGAATTGTAGGTCATTTTCATGCTTAGAAGTCAAGAACATAGCCTCTAATGTTAGAAAATCATTAAGGAGAGAAGCGCTCCCTTCCTGAGAGATGGGCCTATAAATAAACTGCAAGATACGAAATCAGGCCTGTCCTAGACCTATCACTATCGCTAGCTCTACATGGTGCACCTAGAGGATGACCTTCGAGGGGGATAAATACACGTGGGAAGCTAAAGCAAAGCAGATCAGTGCGCAGCCGCATCCTTCGACGGGACGCGAGGGAATAATCGGTATCGCTATCCGTATCTCAATCCTCAAAGAAATTCGTCAGCAAAGAAGGCGATTTGGTAGCATCCGGCCTTCCGCTCGCTGTAGGCCTGCATATCCTTTGCGGCACGCCAGTTGGCCCTGCAGATGAGCATGGGGAAACATGAAACAATGCGTCCCAAAAAAGTTGGCAGCACTCATTTGGAGTCGAATTTACCTAACGGTCAGAACCGCCGTTTTAATGACAATTGTAGCAACACGACCCCTAAAATGAGATCTGACGTCTGCGGGAAACACACAAAGAAAGGCATCATCAGCGCCAGAGATGCAGAAACGGCGGGAACACACAAAGAGAAACGCAGCGCCAACTGGGAACGGGTCCTGGAATTGTGATGTGCAGCTTTCCGGCGATGGGGATGTACTACGCAGAATGGAAAACGGTACGGCAGGACAAGGATAATCGGCCACAAAAACCATGGATGCGTCAATCGAGTTCCATTCTTGAGATACGCGTGCTTCGGAGGTCTTGCAGCCTTCCCTGAGCCATAGATAGGCTCTTTCAAAAGAATGATACTCAACCTGTCAACTGATATAATCGATTGGTATCCACATATAGCAGACGCGTGCTAATCAATATATCTATGGCCTGCTTCATTCTGCGAGCCGGGAAAAGGCAAAGAGGCTCATTCTACTGCACAGTAAGGTATGGGGCTCACCTACAGCCTAGAAACCTGCATCGGGTACAGGTCTGGTTACAGTGAAGAGCGGCCAACAATGACTAACAAGACTGGTTATACTAGTACATTACGTGAATGCTATATAACATCGGCAGTCTCGTAAGAGGCCATCATCGCTATAATGTGATGATTGAGATTAGAATGGCATGCCTCTCTAACATTTATGAGGAAATGGTGCCCGTGACCTGTCTGCTTCAAGAAATTACCGATTCACAATGGGATGTGCTGATAACGTTAATGTCACCGTTAGCGTGTGCTGGACACTTTAATTAGCGGGCAGCGGTACGTGCCTTGCACCAAAGCCAGCCTCCCAAACGCCTCCGCAGCCCAGCGTCAGCCACCAACTGGATCTTCAACAAAACGGACTATCTTGGCATATTGTTGCGCCTTCACGTTGGCCTTTGTTCCTCGTCTGCTCGCCTGCTCGCTTGCCAAACGGGGAAGACCGATGATCGATAATCCTCGTCGTGCTAGACAACGTATTGATTTTATCCTGTATGCTGTATGCAATGCTAGGTATAGTACCATAGTTGCGGTTGAGCGTTATTGCAGCCAGCCTCTTTTCAGCTCGTTTTCCGTTCCGTTTCCCGTCTGTTCCCCAGCGCCATCCTTCCTCCACCCCACATTCAGTTAGTGGACATGTACCGCATACCTTAGGTAGCAGGAGGCGTGCAGGTCGCTGCTGCAGCCCTGATATGCCCCCTAAATTCGCCAGGTACCAAAGTACCTAGGTAGTCGCCCTAAGCGAGTGAAACGGTGGTCATAATTGGCCCTGACTGAGCGCTAATCCTCCCGTGCACATCTGCACACACGCCAGGCCTCCGTTTCTTTCAGGGACGGCCCCACAGTCACACCCTCCCAACCCATCCCAGGCTTGCTTAGGCTTGGGTGAAGAGAGGAGAATGCCAGAGGTGAGAGAGAGACACCACCACCACCCTTTTTGGTTCTCCTGTAACCCATCTTTTTATGCCCACCTCACCACAGCGCATCATCCCGTTGCGTTTGTGTTAGACATCCTTCTGCTGCTACTCTAATCATTCCCTACCTACCTACATATCTATCTCACTTTTCAAAAAAGACATCGAAAGACTCGACTTCCGCCGACTTAATGGACTAATGCTTAGCTGTAACTCCTGTGTAATATTGCGCGCGCAACAACGACAAAGGCCCCATCCTCCCTTTTCTACGGCACCTTACCCCTTCCTCCTCGACAGGGGCCACCGACCCTCAAAAAATTAAAGCGAGAGGTTGACGCCGACCAAGAAAAAAGTCCCAGCATCCGCCGATGCGCTCCCAGCCATCTGCAAACACGAGATCCGACCATCGTCTGCTTTTCTGCGGTGCCGACTCCCTTTGCTGGTCGTCGTCGTCGCCGTCCGCCAGCTGCATCGACTCGTTGCGACTGCCGCCAATTGAAGTCGACCTGTTGTCTCTCCCCAACGACAACACCACCACGTCCTACTCCGCCTCCACCGCCCGACAGCTGTCGCCGCGCCCGTCTTGAAACCTGTCTTCGGTCATCGCATCGGCGCATTGATTCTGCAACATCGAAAGCATTGTCCGCCACAGCGTGGGCCTTAATCGGCCATGGCGTTTCTTTTCAAGTCCAAGAAGAACGCGGACAGAGGCCTGTCGAGTCGCGATGGACCGCCGCCCGGATCACAGGGCTCTCTCACCAGCCCCGACGCTCGTGCTAGATTGACGGAAAAGGGCTCTCTCCAAAGATCAACGCCCACCGCGAGCCTCAATTCCCTGGATAATGAAGGAAGCGCCGGCAGTCCCGATCAAGCTTACCCCAGCCGCAACCTGAGCGGCGACCGGCAAACGCAGCTTCAACCCCAGGGTCCGGGTCCAGCTCCAGCTCCCGGCCCAGGCAGCGACCTGCAGGTGAGTTGTCTGCGTCATGAGTTTGTCAATTCAACACACGCATGATCAGAATTAACAGAGTCTGTCGCAGTTTCGAAACGGCGCTCCAGGACCCGTGAACAATCCCAATGCGTCGCTATACCCCTGGTCACAAAGAAGATTGACCTACACCTCTTCACATCCGAGCCCTTTCCCGCGATATGGCGCCGCCGTCAACTCCGTCTCCTCAAAAGAGGGCGACATTTACGTTATGGGAGGCTTAATTAATAGCTCAACTGTCAAGGGTGATCTCTGGATGATTGAAGCTGGTGGTAGCATGTCGTGCTACCCGCTGGCCACGACGGCTGAAGGACCCGGGCCTAGAGTAGGACACTCGAGTCTGCTAGTCGGCAACGCCTTCATTGTGTATGGCGGTGACACAAAAATCGATGAAACGGACGTACTAGACGAAACATTATACTTGCTTAATACTTGTGAGCATCTTCCGCAACTGTGGGATCTGAATAAACGGAACTAATGAGTTTAGCAACGAGACAATGGTCCAGGTCGCTACCTGCCGGTCCTCGCCCTTCCGGTCGATATGGTCATTCCTTGAACATACTAGGATCTAAAATTTATATCTTTGGTGGCCAGGTGGAAGGCTATTTCATGAACGATCTGTCAGCGTTCGATCTGAATCAGCTACAGATGCCCAACAATAGATGGGAGATGCTCGTTCAGAATAGCGACAGTGGAGGGCCACCTTCAGGCAAGATACCACCTGCTAGAACGAACCATTCAATGGTGACTTTTAACGACAAGATGTATCTGTAAGTGATTATATAAGGCGTTGTAACTCTTATCATGAAACTAAACCATGACAGATTCGGAGGAACGAACGGCTTCCAATGGTTCAACGACGTTTGGTGCTATGATCCTACCACAAATCTTTGGAGCCAGTTGGATTGCATAGGATATATCCCTGTTCCCCGAGAAGGCCATGCCGCATCAATAGTTGACGACGTAATGTACATCTTTGGAGGTCGAACAGAAGATGGTGCCGATTTAGGCGATCTAGCAGCTTTCCGGATTACTTCCCGCCGCTGGTACACCTTCCAGAATATGGGCCCTTCGCCTTCGCCGCGGTCTGGTCACAGCATGACGACAGTCGGCAAATCAGTGGTGGTCGTTGGAGGAGAGCCGAGCTCTGCCGCCACAGCTGTTAACGACCTTGCCCTGGTTTACCTGCTGGACACCACGAAGATCCGCTACCCTAATGACTCACAAATACAATCCAGCTCTCAGAGGGCGGTGCAGGGTGCGAGACGGCCAAGCGCAAGTGAAGGACCGTCTCAAATAGTAGCTCGGAACTTGGCATCTCGAGACGGATCCCAAGGTCCACCAGAGTCGAAGAGGTTGGCTGGTGCAGCTCGTGAGCCCGGAACGGTCAACAGCCCGAGTAGCCTCAGAGGGATGAACGGCAGCGAGATCAATGGCGTAGCGAATGCCGCACCTCAAGGGTCCAAATTACCCAGAGCTGCAGCAATACCAGGGCCACCCGCAGGCCCACCACCTCAAGGTCAACCTCCAAAGCCAACCGTCAACACATCCGCTACTGCCCGTGTCAGGAACGCATCAGCAGACCGAGGAGACATAGCAACCGGGTCACCGCTTGCAAGTCAGAATCAGTCCCCAGTGATACAACAGAAGGAAAATGACAGCCCGATTACGAACGGTCGACGAACTCCCACTTCTCAAGCCTTGAGATCCGCACCTGTAAAGGAGGTACTGGCCGCAGAAGTACCGAAACCCTCGAAGGGCACACGACAAGGTCGATCACAAGGCTCAGTAGATAGTTCGACGGAGCCTAATCTGAAGGCTGTAGCGAACCGGCCATCGTCCCCACCACCACCGACTAGACAAACGAGTAATCCGCTTTCACGAAGATCATCGGGGCGCAACTCTCAGACAGTGGCACTGCTAAAGGAGCTGGATGCAGCACGCAACAGGAACGCGTGGTATGCCTCCGAGCTAGAACTGGCAAGGAAATCCGGTTACACTCCAAATGCTTCTCTTAGTCCCGTGTTGGACAGCCGAGCTGCGGAGACCTTTGATGACGATGACAAACCCCTGATTGAGGCTCTCATTGCCATGAGGACGGAATTGGCAAATGTTCAAAGTTCTGTAGACAAGCAAGCAGTTCTTGCAGCAAAGCAAATCGCCGAGGCAGAGAAGCAGAGGGATGCTGCCATTCAAGAAGCAGTCTATGCCAAAGCAAAGCTCGCTGCTCATATGGGAAGCGCGGCCAACTCTCCACAACTCGATAACGACCGCGAAAATGACGAGCGAACAGGGGAGATCAGCAGGAAGCTTGCAACCGCCTTAAACACGCAGAAGGAACTCCAAAATGCACTAGACCGCGCCAGCAGCGAAATCGACGCTGAGAGAAGAGCCCGAAAGCTTGCTGATGACACCGTGAATGCGGCGCAACGACGGATGACAGAGCTCGAGAGCTACAAGCAACAGAATTCGTCTGAACTCGAGCGTCTCAAGGCCGAGCTACATATGGTCCAGCGTGAAGCCCGGGAGCAATCTGTCGTTGCTGCCGACGCCACAGCTGCCATGCAACTTCTACGTGTTGAAAGAGACGATTTCCAGGCCAAATTTAACGATGCTGTGGGAAGTTCTAAGGGGCATAGCGAAACATTTGACTCCCTCCGAGAGGCTGTAGCTGCCTCTGCGAATATGAAGAGCCTTCTCGAGCGCAAGCTTGAAGAGGAGCGCGCCTCGCGAGAAAAGGTTGAGACAAAGCTAGCCAAGCTGAAGACAGAGCATGAAGCTCGCACTGCCGAACTCGTCGCTGCAACGCAGCGATTGCGCGACGCGGAAGACCTAGCGGAGCAGCATGCGAACGAAGCGCGAGCTCATCGTCAAGCAGTATTGGCAGGATTAGATAAGATCTCCGCCAATGACGTTAGCAAGGCAAACAAGGCCGACGCCGACCGTCTTGTTGCTCTCCAAGAACAAGTTGCTGCAGCCAACAACTTGTTCTTGGAGAGCAAC